CAAAAAGCAGATGATGGTGGTTTGGGCCGCAGGAGAGGTGTGCAAACTGCATGTGCTGGGAAGAACTTACTCCTTGTGGAAGGAAGTGGGAGGAGCAGAAAGAGGCATTTTACCTGAGGCTGCATGCTGCTTTTCTCCCTGGAGGTGGGTTTAGCTCTGCATCCAGCCAGTTACTTGCCCCGCCCCCTTCTCTGCCTCCCTGCCCTTCCTTCTCCCCTTGGGTGTCTCCCCCTCCCCCATTCCTCTCCTAGGGAATAAACAATAGTAACACATTGGGCATCTGATTGATAAAGCCGGTAGATACCCATTTCATAGACCGAAACAAATGAGATCACCATTTGAAAGCTTGGGCCTTCCCACCCCTAAAAAATTCTCTAGAAGTTGTAACTTGCTTTTATATTTAAATAAGGGAGCAGCACAGAATAATTCATAGTCTAGACTCCCTGTTCATCCAATATTGGCAAGAGTCTTTGTCTTGGAGCCGCTGATCCCCAGATGTTCACTGTTTTTTTGACCCTCTTCCCCCCTCTTTTTCCCCGAACTTGCCCTTAAGGGGAATTTGAACTTTAATTTCCTCATTCAGCCTAATTCAACTTGAACTTGTGCTTTCTGATTCCCGCCCTGTGGGGCGCCTGACCTCGTGCAGCGCCTTAGCGCCTGTGGTTGTTGCAGGGCAGCCTCAGGTCCTCACGCGCGCTGATTTGACCAGGGTGCCTTTGACTCATCTTTGTTTTTAAATTGGGAAAACTGGAACCACACCGAAGAGGTCAGCAGCAGAAGAAACCAAAAGCCCATAATCTGTGCTCACTCACAGTTCTAACGCCCGATTTCCTGCCCAGTCGCCCTGCGTGGTCTGGCTGGCTTGCCCCGGCTCCTGAGGACCACTGAGAGAAACTGAAGCCCCCAGCCCCGTTAGCAGGTGAGGGCTGACAGGCTGAATATCTAGTGGTTTTCATGGAAGGAGGTGTCGCTGGAACTCGCCCCACGTGCATGGTTAAAACAGTAACTGAATCCCCTACTCCTGTAGCCTGGCTTCCTGGCCATCTGGAGCATAGCCCCTAGCTTCAGTAGGGTAGCACCAAGGTTGTTAACACCCAGTGCATAGGTCTGGCATTTTCATTCATGGGCTCATGCCCGTGAAAAGTGTGGTTCTTTAGGGGAATGTGAGAGAGCCCCAGATGAAAGCCCAGATCTTGTTGCTTAATGCTCCCTCCCCCATCTTATTCAGTCTCTTCTCTGGAAATCACAGAGGGTGCTTACAATCCCATGATCCTGTGACCTTTCCCCCAGTTTCACCTGTGCCATGAAATGAGTGTCTCTCTTTGGCATATATCCCATTTGTTGTTTGATTTTTCAGGCTGTTGCTAATTATTCTAATTGCTAAATATCTTACCCCCAGGTTACATTGTCAAGATGGCTTTATTAGGGGATATAATTAACTTATTTAACTTTGATTTAGCTCTCTTATCTCCATGTATCTTAAAGTACTGAAGAGGAGACCACATACCACCAAAAATTCAAACATAACCAAAGAAGTTTTTTAGCTAAAGGTTTGTTATAAAATTATCCTTTAGAGCAGTGATCCTCAAAGTCAGAATTGGGAAGTTGAGTATGATAGCTGGTCTATCTTGAAGGGATGTGGTCTCCACATACCCAAAGCTAAACTTTATCTGTTTTTGGAAACGGACCTCTGATCTGCTGTTTGATCAAGTGAAACTGTGCCTTCTCAGCCTTCCAAGTCTCCCCTCATTTTCTCCTACACCCACTCACCTGCCAAGTCCTGTTTGTTAGTAGTGTAAAGTGCATCCAAGCTCACTGTACTCTTCTGTCCCACTCCTCTGCCCTAGCCCAGGCCATGCAGGTTGCCTTCTGTCCAGTACCTCTGCCTCCGCTGGGTTGCACACTGCTTCTGCTTCCCGTGCTTTTCTTTCTAAAGCGTTTCCCGGATCTTTGTTGCGTTCCTGCTGGGGACTTTACTGTCCATAGCATGGTGCTTCTTGAACGTCAGTGTCTCCTGAAGCATGGATTTCTGGGTTAGACCCCAGGGTTTCTGCTTCAGGAGCTCTTTCCCAACAAGTGCCGGGTGGTACACAAGGACTGTGGCTCTCGGAGGAGCCTGTGGTCCTGCAACTCCTGGCCTCCTGCTGTCTGTGCATTCTGACGTCCTCTGAGCCCTTCTGCTGTGCCAACACTCCTTGGAGTCCCTCTGCTCCCTTCAGGACAAGGTGTGGGCTACTTCAGTACCAGTTGTGTCTTACTCGCCTGTTTCCCATCCTCCCCATGCATTGCCATGAGAATAACACAGCAGAACGGCCATTAAGAAAAACCATGGGTGAATGAATGTCGTGAAGGGAGCCATATAGGAGGCCCTCTGTGAGCCAGCCAGGCTGCTGTAGCTTTAGGCCATGTTTCAACAGGCAGCATAGGTTGGGCCTATGGCCAAGAGACTACTGTTGATGGCAGCTGGCTGCTCTTCATCTTGCATATCTCTATCTCTTACCTTCCTTACCTTTTCAATTCCTCATCCTTCACACTTTCTGTCGTCCTCTCCTCCTCCCCTTCTTATCCCCCCTAGCCTTAGTGTCCAGGGTCTGTTGGTGGTGTCATGGGTGGAGGTTTCTGATGCTTACTGTAGAACCTCAGAATTGCTTTTTTTTTTTTTTTAATTTACTTGACAGAATTAGACAGTGAGAGAGACAGAGAGGAAGGTCTTCCTTCCATTGGTTCACTCCCCAAATAGCCGTCATGGCCAGCACTGCGCCGATCCGAAGCCAGGAGCCAGGTGCTTCTTCTTGGTCTCCCATGTGGGTGCAGGGCCCAAGCACCTAGGCCATCCTCCACCGCCCTCCCGGGCCTCAGCAGAGAGCTAGATTGGAAGAGGAGCAACCGGAACCAGAACCTGGCGCCCATTTGGGATGCCGGTGCCGCAGGCAAAGGATTAACCAAGTGATCTACGGTGCTGGCCCCAGAATTGCTTCTGAATCTTAGGCTGTTGGTTAGTGTAAAGATACAGGTTGTGGACGACTCGAAGTCAGGTCATGTTGACTGAGTAATGTCCTACACACATTCATACTTTCAGGAAGCATCCTGTTTAATTGTAAATAACCCTGGAAGTGGATATGACATCTCCATTTTATACAAAAGAAAACAGACTCAGAGATTAAGTCAAAATAACGTGTGATACTGAAGTGAGAAGATTTTTCCACCATTAGCCATAGGAGGAATAACTTCTTTGCTTATAAAGTATCATGTTGTGGGGAATGGCATTGTGGCTTAGCGGGTTAAGCTTTGACTTACATTGTCAGCATCCCATTTAAGCACCATTTTGAGTCCCAGCTGCTCCACTTGATTCCAGCTCCCTGCTAATTTGCCTGAGAAAGCAAGTACTTGAGCCCCTGCCACCCACGTGGGAGCCCCATATTGAGCTGTGGGCTCCTGGCTTCAGCCTGGCCGCGCCCCAGCTGTTGCAAGCATTTACGGGGTGAACCAGCAGATGAAAGATACAGTTTTTTTTTTTAAGATTTATTTATTTATATGAATGTCAGAGTTACACAGAGAGAGGAGAGGCAAAGAAAGAGATCTTCCATCCACTGATTCACGCCCCAATTGGCCGCACGGCCAGAGCTGTGCCCATCTGAAGCTAGGAGCCAGGAGCTTCTTCCAGGTCTCCCACGTGGGTGCACTGCTTTCCCAGACCATAGCAGAGAGCTGGATCAGAAGTGGAGCAGCTGGGTCTCGAAACGGCGCCCATATGGGATGCCAGCACTGCAGGCCAGGGTGTTAATCCTCTGCGCCACAACGCTGACCCCAAACGATATGCTTCTATGTCTTTCTCTCTCTCTCTCTCTAACTCTGACTTTCAAACAAATAAATAAATTAAAAAAAAATTGTAGCTGTCACATCACAGTGGTTGAGCTTTCATTTATCAATCGCTGAGGAACACTTTGGGAGCCTCCACAGTGTCCCTGTTGTCCTGAGCGATCAGCAGCTCCCAGTAAAGAGCTGCTACCCGGCAAGATGGCAGCGGCGTGCGGCCAGGGCTGTCTCCTGGTCTGGTTGGGAGTTCTTGCAGATCACAGGTGTCCCTATGAGTGAAGGCCGTGTAGAGAAAGGTGTGCGGCCACGTCCAGGGTGCATACCTGTGACACAGTGAAGACCTGTCTCGGCACGCTGTGTATTTGGTAACTGAAGATTGTAACGCTCAGGTGCCGTGCAAGAAGCTGGAGTTCCTAACAGAATACAGTCAGTGCAGTCCGTGTGGACGGAAGACTTCACAGAGAACTGAGTACGACTGAGTGGCTGCTGTTCCCACCTGGGCTGTACAGGGCCCAGTCCCCCACGCGCGGCTGCTTGAGAATCGGCCCAGGGAGTGTGGTGGCTGCAGGTCTGGTTCTCCCCTTTGCTCTGCGTGGTCTTGTCGGGCAAGACCCACGATCGTAGACCCGGGAGCTGCTTTTCTTCTCTCCTCAGCTGTTTCCCGTTCTCAGGAATTCTTTCTCCATTCATGTGGCCCTGCTGGCTTCTCTGCACTTCCCTCTCGGTGAACGAAGGCTTGCGTTAGCGCATCACTTCCCTGCTTCGGCAAACCCTCGGAGGGGGCGGGGGGCTGCTCTGCAGGGGCCCTCAGGGTGCTGAGCAGACCCTGGGAGCGTGTTAGACCTCTTAGTTGTTTTGTATTTATTTATGTATTTTTAATTGGAAAATAAAAGTTGGGCACATTTATGGTGTACAACAGGAAAAGTAAGTGTGGGAGGTACAGTCTGCGTTAGGATGACTGTAGTTAACAATGTATTAGCTGCCCGGAAATTGCAGCTAGATGTTAAGGCAGTAAATTTTAAGGGTTCTCCCCACAAATAAATGATGTGAGGTGCTGGGTGTATTGATTGGCTTCCTTCAGCCATTCCACAATATATACAAATATCACAACATCGTGTTGTAGCCTCTTGGTTTTTCACACTTTCTCCTAATGTGCTCTTGTGTCTGTCATTCTCTTCCAATAGGGTAGTGGCGGAGCTCGAAGGTCCACGCTGCTGGATGGTGACGAGCCCCTGGTGTATTTCTATGACGACGTCAGAACCCTGTACGAGGGCTTCCAGAGGGGTATCCAGGTGTCAAGTAAGCATTCCTCACCTCGTGTGATTAACGGCATGCTTCATCAGGGAGCAGCGGGTGTTGCTTGACCCTCTGTCTGCTCCTGTAATTTGTCCAGAGTCAGTCCCGAGGCTCCCCGGACCCTCTCGGTGTTCCCTGTGGCCAGGTGGGCTCCAGCGCCTGCACGTTCTCACACCCTGGGTTTTGTGGACAGCCGCGCCCGGTGGGGTCTGATGTTTCCTGCAACCAAGGGAACTGTTTCGTGGGCTCCAGTCCAGCATTTTTCAAGCTTCCCGGACTGTGAGACCCATGTTTTGAGAAAGAAATACTGGCATCCCGCAGAAGCAGTGTTCCGTCAGAGACACTGGAAATGTTGACTCACGGGATTAGCCTGAATTATTAACGGTGACACGAGAGAGCCTGTGCATGTGGCACCTGCCTCCTCTCCAGACCTTCCTGCTGTACGTCCCACAAGAGCCCTGAACTGCTTGCGGAGCCGTGGCCATCTCTGCTCTCTCAACCCCACCCCACCCCACCCCACCCCACCCCACCCCACCAAGCCTTTGTGCAAGACTTTTCTCTCTCATCTTTGCACCCAGCCAGGGTTCTTGATGTATTCTTATGAATCTTTTAAACCTCGTTTTGAATTTCGCCTGTCTAAACCCTTCCTGGTCTATCAGTCTCACCCCTTACCTCCAAGTGACATGTTTCCGCCCTCCCCCCCCTCCAAGGGTATTTTGTTCACATGCAGGAGAGCTTCGGAGGATCTTTGTAGTGCCTGGAAGTTGGGGCACGACAGTTATTATACTAAGATACTCTATTAAAATGGGTGGTTTTTTGCCTCTTTCATTTTATCCCACCCCGAGTATCCTTTTGAGGAGATAGTCTATTTGTATTAAATATTTTTTTAAATTGTGAAAAAGTTTGAATTTTTTTTTGGTTGTCTTCTACCTGTGTCCG